AGCACAGTGGTGTGAATACTCATTACTGATCTGGGCGTTTTAGAAAGCCAATTTTGAAACAGGTTTTTCAGGGACTTTCCCTTGCCCTTACCAAAGATCTCTACTACAGCTTCGCACTAGATAACCTGGTTAAAATAATAACTGTCTTCTCCGGAGCATAACACAGGATTGTTCCAGATTTTGCCAAGCTAAGGGAGCATCAGTGATCCTGCACTAATTCAGCCTTTGGAACTGCTGGGGAATAGATGAGGCTGTGGTAACGGTGAGTCTCTGCAGCTGGAAGCAGCGCCATGTAAAGAAATGCTGTAGGGGATACATGATGTTGCCCTTCAGATGCCATCTGCTGAAATAACTTGATCAGGTTTTTTTTCTCCTCCTCTGTGATTGAGGGGATTGTACCTGCACCACTGCAGTCGTGTTACCTTCCTCCCCGAAAGACCCACTACTGGAGTGTGTCGGGGCGCCTTCGAGGGCTGCTTTTCAATCTGCTGTGCTTAAATGAATCCGAGCTGGGACTTGGCTCGTTGGCCTCTTTAAAATGGTGTTATCTTTCTCGTGCCTTATCAGATCGAGATGCTGCTTCAGTGATGTTGCACTCCTGCGTGCAGTGGTGAACCAGCAAGGAGGATGCAGAGCACAGCCTGCTGTGAGCGGGCAGGAGGATTAGTTCTGCTTAAAGTGTCTTGCACAGATCCACATCTTGGGGGACAGTGAGCACGTGGATTGGGCATCAAAAATAAGAAATCTTGCTCTCCCCCTTTGTGTCAATGAGGAGGAGAAAATCTGAATAAGGAGCTCTTTGTATGTGCTTATCTATATACTGTCTCGTTTAGCCTGAGGTTTTCCCACATCTGCTTCTCTGCGTGAAACATCAGACTGAAACACATTGCTGTACTGAAATGTTTGACATTAGAAAGCTATTTTTTGTTGTCGTTGCCCTCCCAGTAAGCCTGTGGCCTTTTTATGATGTTTTGTACTTTTAACTGTCTTATGTGTGACTACTGCCATAAAGTAAGAGTGAAACATCTGCTTTTCTAACTGTTACAGCAAGGCAAAACTGTTTCAGCAGGTTGCTGTTTGAAGCATGATACCCAGTTGGGCACAACTCAGCTTTGAGTCTGTAAATAGAAGTTTTAATCTCTGTTCTGGTGTTTCATTAGCTAGGTTTTCATGTGGGACAGAGGCCCACAGTAGCCCAAGATAGCATGGGTTGTATACGTGGCCTTTTTCTAGAAGTGTTTGCTTTAGCTAACTTACATTCATAGTGAGCGTTGCGGCTTTCTGTAACAGTGCTACCCTGTCCATGGCACTAAAATCACAGCTCGTAAACATCACTTCTCTGAAATCTGTTCGCCGCGTGTTCCTCCGCCTGTCTCCAGAGCCACAGTAAGGCTGTGCGTGAGATCCGAACCCAAAGAGGCCTTAGTGGCCCCACTGAGCACACTGCTGCTTCTGTAGAAGTAGATAAACCGGTGGGTCGCTGCTGTGCGTCATTCCCATTACTTGGATTCATACCATGCTATGGTGAAACCTCTTCTCACTGATCTTTTTTTCTGGCAAATCTTCACTCGGGGGTAGGATGGTGGTGGGGGGATGCAGTAACCTGTCCCTTCTGGCAGGTGAAGGAGCTGGAGGTGGGTGAGCAGCTCTGGGGTTGGAAGACCCTGAGAAGCCCTTTCTGGAGCTCCACTTTTCACAAAATCTGCTGCAGGGTTGCATCGGTTTATTCCAAGGAGATATATTTAGGTCTGGAAGAGTAATTACACAGCTTTGAGTAAGTCTCGAGTCAGAAGAGGGCAAAGCTTAGCTTGGCAGGGATTCAACCTTCTGGGAGTCTTTCTGCAAAGTGGTACAGACGGCTTTTTTAAAATGAAACTTCTGAAGACCCATTGAATTGGCACCTAGTACCAGGCATTGGTCTTGATCTATTTCTGGCTCTCTCAAATACAGAGTAAAGCTTAAAATTAGACACTTCTGGTTTTAAGCTGGTAGTTTCTACTTTGCTTTTAGGTGCCTTGTGATTAGGATGGAAGGAAACGCCTCTCTGGGTGCAGCCCTCACGCCCTCCTTGTATGTGTTTGGGTTCTGCATGATGGTTCTTGATTGTACATTAGAGAATATTCTAGGGCTAAATACAAAACTGCTTCTCATCTGAGTCCACTTTTTTCCCTATTTTAGTGTTCTGTAATTACCAGCCTAAAGATAGCTTGGTAGGAGGTGGATAGACAAAGCCCATCGCTTCGCCACATGCCATCTTCTGGAAACATGGAACTAATTTTTTAGAGTTTGGCTTGAAACAATAGTGCTGTCACTTAGCTCGTCTAATGATACAGACCCAGCCTCCACCCTTAAAAGCCACTCTTTAAAGTAAAAAAGAAAGTTGAAGGTCATTGTTGAATGATTATGAAACTTGTGACTGGAAAGCAGCTCTGAATTTTATCTTCTAAACTCTCATCCACCCTGTGCAGACTATTCCAAAGTCATAAAAAGCCCTAAGCTGCGCGTGCACCCGCAGCTCGGGTTCGTGTTGGTGGTGCTGTGGGTAACATAACCCCCCCAAATCCTTTTCCTAATCCCTTGCACTGGGTGGTATCTGCAGCAGTTTTGGAAAGCCAACATACATCCTTAAGAAGCAGAATGTCTGTTAGAAGAGCTTATGCTAACAGCAAATTAGCGATGAAGGAGCTCTATTACTAATCAGTACACTTTGCCACGTTATGAAGTAATTAGCCTTCATTGGACTTAGCAGCATCCAGCAGATGCTTAATCATAGCTGCATTGTAATGTGAGTGAGAACTCCTGGGTAAGGAAACTCGCGTGCTGGAGCAGTTCTTGCCGGTCCCACTGACAAGGCAGCTGCAGGAGCCAGGCGCATGCCATGGGTGTTGGGGAGCTGGAGCTTAGTCACTGGAACGTTTGCTTGTGACCGGAGTTAGAGCTCTGAGCCGCGTTTGTGAACGAGGTTTGCAGCAATGGGCTGTTGCACCTGCCTGAGCTGAACATGGTTCACTTGTAGCTGCCTTCCAGAAGTCAGCTTGAAGCTGAGTTAGCGTTAACCTTGGTCTCTAGAAGACAGTGATTCCTTTTTTAAGAAGACTAACGCTGCTAAAATGTTCGGTGTTTTCTGCATCGCATGTACCTTCCTTGTGTTTCTGAAGCTCATATGTTCACAAGTGTTTTTCTGTTGAGTTCCTTTTTTCATCTGTATCTGAGTTTTTCCTTCCTTTAGGTCATTCAAGATACCTACTATTAAGTCAGCTTCAAGGCACCCCACATCTGAAACTTAACTTGCCTAATTTGGCTGGCTCAGTGAATATTTTATTATAGGCAAAGCCTTTTTAATCCCTCTGGAAGTGTTTCTTCTCCTGTCTGAAGGAGCTGGAGTGAGTTGAGTGGAGCAATGAGAACCAGATCTCATCTTGAATTAATCCTAGATTCAAAGGTATTTTCGGCACTTAGATGTCTCACTTTTCAATGACTTCAATAGCTAACCTTAGTTCTATCTGGAAGGAGTTTAAGTTCACTGCCTTGAAGGAATTGCTGCCTTCTGTTTTCCCACATTTTAAACAGGGATGATCAGCTCTTATCTGCATTACAGAGGATTACAGGTTGCGGTTATTTCTCAGCTACCCCTTTTCTATTCTCTGCAGTTTGCCTTGGCCAGCGCTTTCAGGTCCCACAAAATAGCTCAGACGACAGCAGGGACCTTCTGGGTCAGGATCCAGTCCTCAGTATCCGTCCTGCTGGGCTCACCTCGAGGTTACAGAAGGGCTTGTTGAGCTGTGCACCATCTTCTGCCTCTTCCTTCCCAGGAGGAGAGTTGAGGCAATACCAAGACTAATCGTTCTCCCCTTTGCCACTGATCTCTTCGGCTTGCACTGTGCCCAGGTCAGATGCTGGGAACCTTCCCTTTTCCTGCTAAAGCAAACAGTTTATCAGGTGCCCTTTCCTCTTTGCCCTGTGCTAAGAGGAGAGATAAGAGCGAGATGCAAACTTGCTGGCTCATAGCTGTCAAAAGTGCCTTCCCTTCCTTCCCCCTGGCCTCATTACTTTGAGAACTCAATTGGCTGAGGGCCAGGCTCTGAGCCATAAACAGATCAGGTCTTGCAGAGGATCAGTGGGGAACCAGAGTTCCATGAAAGGACCCACGCACCTTGTTTCCAGGCTCCTCTGAACCTGCCTCCTTTGAAGGATGAAGTCCATCTTCCCTCAAGGGCTCTGCAGAAGCCAAAGCTATACCTGAAGCGATTCCTGTGCTTGGGAAAGCTTCTTCTCTTCCTCTTGTGGGCTCAGGCTATGCTGGAGCCATGTGCTTCTCCACTCACCCTGGAGATCAGGGTAGGCTGCTCAGAAGCTGTGCAAGCAAAACCACCTCCTCCCTGGCTGAGACTGCTTTATGGTTTGAAACCCCCTCCGTGATTTGGAGCACAGCGTTTGTTTGGCATAGTCCTATCTGTGTGCACCCAGGAGCATTTCCACGTGTGGCGGAGGTGATTTTTTTTTTTTTTTTTCTCCTTCAAGCTGGCCATCCTTACTGGCTTTGTCCCAGCATGAGAAGCAGGATGGCTGGCTGAGAAGCACAAGCCATCCAGGACACATAGCACGTTTGCTGCACAGAGGCAGTACAAAACAGGCACATTGTAGGAAGCCTGCGAACCTTCAGCCCAGTTTGGTTATGGAGGTTGGATCTGTCTTGTCCGGACAATGAATAAGCTAAACCGGCTAAGCAGGAAATGTTGGAGAGCTTGTGAGAGTTTTAAAGGCAAATTCTGTGGATGATTAGTCTTCCCTGTAACCTAGCTGGATTTTACCTGTATTGACTAATAAAAAGCTTGCTGCTAACATACCACCTTTGTGTGGTGCAGTCACAGGTGGTGTGGACCAAGCTGTATTGTAGAGGATCTTTACAGGCCGGGTTGCCACTTATTAAAAAAGATACTTAATAGTCAGGATCAGTTTGGCTTTATTTGAAGACTCTGGGTTTTTTTGCATTCTTATAGGGAGGAAGTTCAGGAAAACTGTGTCCGCTGGAAAAAGAAATTCACCTTTGTGTGTAAAATGAGTGCCAACCCAGCCACAGGACTCCTGGACCCCTGCATCTGCCGAGTATCTGTCCGTAAGGTGAGCATCTAACTGCTGCTTCTGGCAGGTAGTACCACCCATGTGCTGGTGTTGGTTACTAGCTGCTTTTTTGGCAGCAAAAATAATTGCATGGACAGTGGAGGGAAGGAAAGATCATTTGGGCCAGGATGTGACTCGAACGGAGCCTCTCTCTCCAGCAGGGGTGCTCAGCAGTGGGTGGGAGCGACCAGGGTGGTGGTAACCCTTGAGAGACAGAGGTTTGTGAAATCCCAAGAGCAAATTCCAGGATTGAGTAATGACTTTCCCCCTGCTTCCCCAGCACATATAATAGCTGCTTTTCCTGTTTGTTTTGTCTCCCATTATAGGAGCTGAAGGGCGGAAAAACCTACTCAAAGGTAAGAGCACAGAAAGGGCAAATGTGGCAGAGTGATGACGGCCTTGCCTTTGTTAGTGCTGCGTGAAGCAATCTGGAGAGACAGACGATCATTAGTTCTTAGTTTAAGCCTGAGTTAAGTGATTTCCCAAAAAAATCAACTTGCTGGGACAGGATCCAGATTGCACTGGATGTGGATTTGAGAAGGGGGTTGGGAAGATGATCTGCATGTCCTCAAACTTTGGGGAAGTTCTGAGTCAGATGTGAACTCTCTGGCTTCTGGCAACGTCTAGCTTATGAAGAAACACAGACTCCAGTTCTGTTCTCCAGAACACAGCAGCCAGCTGTGGCTGGGGTAGGCACCTCACTGCCTCACGAGTACAGGCAGAAACCTACAGCAGAAGTCGCCACCTTTCAAAGCACAAGAGCCATGGAGGCAAAAAGCAAATCGATCAGCAGGGATGGTAGTTTTGGTTTGTTCCCCCTCATTTTCTTGCCTGTGCTACGGAGAGACAATGGGCCACCCCCTTCTCCTCTTCGTGCTGGATCAAGAGACAATGTTGGCTTAGAAGCTGAGCTCATGCAGAGCCCGAAACCATGTTTGTTTGAAAATGAGTCACTGCTGCTGGTTTCTAATAAACAGATGTTCAGGTCACGCACGACCTTGTAAGAATTTCTTCTCATCGATATCCTTCCGGAGACCATGGAGGCAACAGGCTTTGAAGGGTGAACTGCACTCGCTCCTGTGTACTGTATGTGTACATACAGCTCCTGTGCTGTATGGAAGAGGGCAATGTTGCCCCCCACACCGTTCCCTTTTTGTTGCTAATTAGGACATGGTCTCTAGGGCCATCAGTTTCTCTTTCACTGAATTCACACTGGGGGGAGGTTATTCCTCCATTCTGCAGAGCTGCCTGCCCAGATAGAGCAGCATAGCTGGAGGAAAAGACATGCCTCTGAGACAAACTAAATGCATCAGCCTGTTCGTCCCACAATATCCATCATCCTCAAGCTTCCCACAGAATTTGAAAGTGCAGAATTAAAGGAAGCCTGAAGGCATGTCTCTGTGGTGGAGTTAACCTGGTCTCTTACTCGGTCCATGTTCTAACCTACTTCTCTTTTACTCAGTCTCCAGTTGTGTTTAGTGATGTTTTAAAGATACCCAGTTGCTCCAGCCTGAAATTGGAGACCAAATCTCAAGTACTTGTCATCTCTTGGGCTGATATCTTGCTTAGTCTCCTGTGAAGAAGACAGATGTGTTCTCCTAGAATTCAACAGAACATGACCTGAGCATTTCAGCAGCACAGAGACAAGAGATGTCACACCAGACAGGGTGATTAAGCCTTGCAGTCTTACTCTAGGGACCAGGCTTGTTCCAGGCAGGTCCTTGTGGCAGAGCTGACTTACCTGGGATTTGTAACACTTCTCCCAGAAGTCTGTAGCATATGTTCATGCAACTATTTTCCTATTCTAAAGTCCTTACCTTTTTAAACCATATTCATTCAGCTGAAAAGTCCTCTAATCATGGCAGCAGATGTGGAAGAAGAATGCCCTCTTTACCTGGTCCCCCTTCAGCAGCTGTTTGTGCCCAAGACAGTTTCCATTGACTCACGCACCTTTTGCTTTGACGTTAATGTCACTTTGGTGTCAGGGGTTATAAAGCGGAAGCCAACAGGAAGGACTGATAAAGTGGAAA